GACGATAACAAACGAAAACCTGATTCAGGAGGAAATTAAGAGGCGACTGAACTCAGGTAATGCTTGCTACCACTCAGTTCATAACCTTTTGTCTTCTCATCTCCTGTCCAAAAACATAAATTTAGAATATATAAAAGTATAATTTTGCCTGTGGTTCTGTATGGGTGTGAAACTTGGTCTCTGACATTAAGGGAGGAACATAGACTGAGGGTGTTTGAGAACAGGGTGTTGAGAATATTTGGACCAAAGACAGATGAAGTGACAGGAGGTTGGAGAAAACTGCATAATGAGGAGCTTCATAACTTGTACTCTTCTCCAAGTATAATTAGAATGATCAAGTCAAGGAGGATGAGGTGGGCAGGGCATGTAGCACGAATGGAGGAGAAAAGGAATGCATATAGGAGATTGGTGGGAAAGCCAAAAGGAAAGAGACCACTGGGAAGACCAAAGCGTAGGTAGGTGGACAATATTAAAATTGATCTTAGAGATATAGGATTAGATGGTATGGATTGGATTGATCTGGCTCAGGATAGGGACCAGTGGAGGACTCTTGTGAACACGGTAATGAACCTTAGGGTTCCATAAAATGCTGGCAAATTCTTGAGTAGCTGCAGATTTGGCTTCTCCTCAAGAAGGGCTTAGCTCCTTAAGTAAGTAAGGTACTGTAATTCAGTTCTGATTACTGGGAGTTCAGCTTAACGTGGATTCTTGTTACCAAGGTTTCACTGTATTCTGCATTCCCAACACATTCTTCTTTACATATATATATATATATGGCTTACCAAGAGCAGCTAGTCTGTAATTGGTGGTCACCAGGACTATATCCTGATCCATGAGATACTGAGGTCCATATATAGCACTCACTCCTGTCACACTGAACCATCCTCCAGCATGAAAAAAGACCATGACAGACCTATTTGGATTGCTTCCATTGCTTGGAAGCTGAAATAATATCAGTTATTATTAAATTATGATTAGGCACAGAAGTCAAAGACTGTAGCCTAGTAGATGTTGACTGATGAAACAGACATAAGTACCAGAAGTGCATCAAGTGTAACTAGATTAACAGGAGTAAGAGAAAATGTTTGTCTTTACACAGTCTGGGCATTACTGGTCACTATCAGAAAGCATAATCAAATCTATAAGGAATTACTTTACATAATGTAACATGTTGCGCGACTGAGAACCCCCCTCCTCTCCACGGTAACGTAGCGCTCCCCGCCACTCCCCTCCGCGGTGACGTCACGCGGTGACGTAACGCGCAACGCTAACGTAACCGTAATCAACGTCCTACTGTGACGTGGCACTCATTACGCCACAGGCAAGCACTGCAGCTATATAAGTGGATGCACAGTGCGTATCGATCAGTTCGAGTTCGAGTTCCAGTGTGGCTACCGCCGAGCGAGTGTGTTATCAACAGTTCTCCAGTCAGCCGACTACAAGTTGGAGTATAGCAGCCGTCGCGGAAAGAAGATCCGGACGTGTGTGTAATTGTGTAATTGGGAGCGTGTGATACAGTGATACCTAGCTCCCCTACTGTAAACGTGCAGACTACTGAAGACAGAGTGAACTGATTTGCGCATAGGGTTATAAATCGTGAAACCCCGCAACAGTGTCGACAGATTAATGCGATTAGGGTTATAAAGTGTGAAACCCCGCAACTGTGTGATAATTAAGTATAGCCGTTATTTGTAGATTGTTAAATAAACCAGTTAACCATCTCTACGGCGTCTTCGGTAACCAGAAACACGTTACAATATGTTGTTGTTTGTACATGGTTTGTTACTGTAACATCAAGGGACTTAGAGAAGTTGTTAAAATTAAGACCAAATAATTAATAAATTTAGAATAAGTACAGTATATCAAGAATAATTCCATAAAATAATTCAAAGTAAATTAAAATTCCTTGCTGAGTAGATAGAATAATGTTCTGAGGGCCGTTTATTGTCAGTTACATAGAATATTTTATTGTTTGTGTGTGTCGGAGGGGTTGAGATATAGTTCCACCCACATTAACCTAGCACTGGATATTCTAATTCCACAGAACTCGAAACTACCGTGAAAGCTATTCTGCTAAAAATAAATTAGTGGTTTTCACACAATTCGCTAACGCTAAATTTAAGTAAAACCAATTGTGTTTACTTTGCAACAAAACTGAATCTGTTTAAAAACTTAAATATAATATATAGTGATACTCTAATCCACAACATTTGTAATATCAAATTTCTTGGACTAATTATTGATAGTACTTTGTCCTGGAAATATCATATTAATCAATTAGTAATTGAGCTGAATTCGGCTGTCTATGCCATCAGAACTTTATCTTCCGTTGTGTACCAGGAAAATCTACTTATGACCTATTATGCCTATGTACATTCCATTATGTCCTATGGACTTATATTATGGAGGAATTCTGCCAAAAGTAATTTAATTTTTAAAATTCAAAAAAGAACAGTTAGGATCATTATGAAAGCTAGAAAAACGGACTCTTGTCGTCCATTGTTTAGGTACCTAAACATTCTTCCGTTATACTCACAATATAATGTTTTTAATATCCATGTTTGTTGCTAAAAATATGGATCCTTTCACACTAAATTTTGATATGCACAGTATCCATACCAGACAAAGTTCGGACTTACATCATTCAACTTATAAATTAACTGAAGTCCAAAAAGGTGTCTACTGTTCCAGGATTAAGATGCGATGGGGTACCCAAAAGAAACCGAACTAATTTTTTTTTGTGGGCAGAGCTTTTGTAGTACCGCGTTTTGCCGCTATGAGCGCATAGAGCTAACATTCCTGAGTCGATAAGCCGTCTACCGTTGCTTCAGAAGGTAAGGACTAGTTTCAGCAGAGTTTATAGTGACAACTGTTTTGTGTGATCGTCGTTTTTGCAATGGCTGGTTTTCGTGAACAGCGCGCGGCGGTGAAATTCTGCTTTTTGCTCGGGAAAAGTGGAACAGAAACTCTTGAAATGTTAAAAACGTCGTACAAGGACGATGCTATGGGGAAAACTCAAGTGTTTGAGTGGTTTTCCCGTTTCAAAAATGGTGAAATGTCAATTGATGACAAACCTCGTTCTGGTCGTCCTTCCACGGCCCGAACACATGAAAATGTTGAAAAAAATCGTGAAATCATCAAGGAAGATCGACGACGGACCATTGAAGAAATTGCGGAGCTGTCGGGAGTGACTTGTGGCAGTCGGGTGACTGGTTTTTCCGTCACGACAATGCCCCCTGCTCACACAGCCCTGTCTGTACGACAATTCTTGACCAAAAATGGTATGACCCCTGTTCCTCACCCTCCATATTCCACGACCTTGCCCCGTGCGACTTTTTTTTTTTGTTCCCTCGAATGAAAAGAGACATGAAAGGAATTCGTTTTGCTGATGTTGCTGAGGCGAAGGAAAAACGACGGTGGAGCTGTCGAGCATCTCAAAAGATGAATTTAGACAATGTTTTGAAAAANCGGGTGACTGGTTTTTCCGTCACGACAATGCCCCCTGCTCACACAGCCCTGTCTGTACGACAATTCTTGACCAAAAATGGTATGACCCCTGTTCCTCACCCTCCATATTCCACGACCTTGCCCCGTGCGACTTTTTTTTTTTGTTCCCTCGAATGAAAAGAGACATGAAAGGAATTCGTTTTGCTGATGTTGCTGAGGCGAAGGAAAAACGACGGTGGAGCTGTCGAGCATCTCAAAAGATGAATTTAGACAATGTTTTGAAAAATGGAATAAAAGACTAGACGAGTGTATTTGTGTAAGTGGAGAGTACTTTGAAGGAGATTGAAGGTTTGTGCTTAAAATTTGAATAAATAAGTTTAAAAAAATAAGTTCGGTTTCTTTTGGGTACCCCCTCGTATTTAATAATTTACCACAGAGTCTTAAGAACATGACAAATGATGTTGATAAGTTTAAACATGCCTTAAAAAGATTCTCAATATTGGCTCCTTTTACTCATTGCGTGAATATCTAGATTGGAGAATAATGGAAAACCTTGCGTCTTACAAATAATTTATAATCTGATTGCTGATCTGATACAGTTTTTTCGCGTGGTTGATGTAATCTTTTGTCTTAATTTTTATGCAGGTTTTCCTTTCGATGAGCATGATTTATATGTATTGTTTACCTGTAGAATTGCCTGTATGTGTTGTTTGCTGATAGTATTGCGATATGACGAGTCCTGTATCAATGTTTTTTGATTTATGGGAAAATGAAATAAAGAAAGAAAGAAGGAAAGATAATTGGTCATAAGTTATTAAATTTATAATGCATTTAATTCAGTTAATTTATGTAATTTAAATGAAATAGTATTGATTTTAAGTTTTTATAGTAATGTTCTTTTTAAATTATGTTCATTAATTATAATTGTAATAAGTTATTTATTTTTTATTTTATTATCTATGTTAATTGACTAATGTATGTGATTTTAATTATGTAACTCATGTAATTTATTATGTGTATCTGGACACATCCATTATCAAAGGGATTACTTCCACATCCTGGGTTTGTTACCTATATGGATATATGGAAAATAAAGGAAATGAATGAAAAAAAAACAGATAAGTGGTCAGTTTCATGCCCTTGTTGCTATACACCCAGGGAAGAAGCAATCCCGACTCAATGTATAGAAGGTTGCATGGTCCCCAAAGATAGTCTGAACATTATGGAGAAGAGAAAAATGTCTTGTGCCTACTGGGAATTGAACCCCAATTCCCCAGTGATCCCGCCTCTAAGGGTACTAACGTGACCGTCAATACAATAATCTATGGGTAAATAGAACTAACATTGACGTGTTAATATTTGTTCTTTTATACAAATCACTATGTGTTTCGATCAAAGCGATCGTCTACTGATGGACTATGTGAATGTATACCATCGTTATTGAATTGTTCGACGTGACATGGATCCGTATTAGTAAATACAATAACGTAAATATTTTGTTGAATTTTACGGTATGTAATGTGTAACTATCTCATAAGATGTTCAAAGTTAAAGTTAAAGTTAGGGGTTAATAATTTGGCATTCAAATTAAAATATTTAACATTAAATTATGAAACTTCAGTAAAATAAAGTGTATCTGAGTTGATCTTGGTGTGCCTGCCATGACAGATTATGTTGTTGTTTCATTGGTGTTACTTGTATCTTTGCACATGTGTGGTGACTGATCAGTTCTAATTAGTTTTGAGTACTGTGGATGTCGAGCGGAGGCCTGTGTGGTCTAGTGGTCAGCGTTCCTGGCTACAGATCCAGAGGTCCGAGTTCATTCCCGGCAATAGCAGATTTTTTCTGAGAAGTAGTGGGTCTGAAACGGGGTCCACTCAGCCTCGTGATGATACGATAATTGAGGAGCTATTTCAAGGAAATAGCGGCTCCGGTCTATAAAACCGAAATTACCGGCCGTGGGGATTTGTTAAGCTGACCACGGGACACCCTCTATCCGCAAAAGTTGGGACTAAACTTCGCCGACAAGCGGCGGTTGCTCGGTCGGTACAGTTCACTTGCGGACTAAAATCACAGAGTTTGTTTGTAGGTGTCGAGTAGTGGTGGGTTTGTGGAAGTTTCATTGTTACTGCAAACAGTAAAGATGGTCAAGCCTGTAGCCTAGTTGCTATACTGACTGAGTTATTCATATGCTGCGTGTGTTTTATATAATGGTAAGTGGACCGGTAAAGAATGTCTGGAAAGTAGAATTTTTGCCTGGTAAGTGAACTGAGCGATCATTTGATGCTCGCCTGAATGTGTGTATGAGCGCATGTGCACGCTTCTCAACTTTCATACAGAGGCAGAAACAATATATGCAAAAGAGCATTCTTCTAGAAACTCAAAAAATTTAAAGTTACTTTATGTAAAAACGCTTTAGTGATATCACTTCATACAATGGCAACAAGACACAAAAATACTCCTTCTATGCTTTATTTATCCGTTCTCTGCATATGTATGCGAGTTCCAAAACTCAACAAGCATAAGAAACTAAATTTCATATCCTGATCTTACCTCTGTGGTATAAACGTTTAGAAACAGGCAGTCTTCCGAAGTTGGAATGGTTGTATTTGCTTCTGGCTGAGGACAGGCAAAACCATCTGCTGTGGCATTCTTAACTCCATCCCACGGCTCAAGAGGCACTGGTGCCTAACACAGAATGATTCTTAATATTACAAATGTAAATGCAAACTAACATCTGAAGATTGTATGCTTAACATCATGCAGCCATTAGAACTTGTTTCTTTTGTAATGTTGGAGTGCTTCTTTACAATCACCTACAGTATCACTCGCAGTAGGCTGAAAAGTATAATTAAATAAGCATACTTGTACATTACACGAGAAATATTAAAAATTCCAACATATGGTACATGTCATACCCACATTAATCTTTGTAACATACTCATGGAAGTAGTAAGTAGGCTCTATTCTCTAAATCCCATCTCCCCATTCCTCTCTCTTACTCTAGCTATCTGTCTGTCTGTCTATGTAGCTAGCTATGGCTCTACAGACCTTTTGTTGGACCTTGGCCACTTTTTCAGTTTCTTAATCACGTACAGAGTTGGTAGGGCCCCTTTGACGGGGAAACAGCCAATCGTCGCCTCCTGCGGCTCCTGTTTCCGCGGCAACGAAATTGACACGTTACAACAAATTGCAGAGAAGGCATCGTTGCCTACTTAGCAAGTGCAAACACGTTCCCCTGACTACTCGTACATAAACAGTTACAACAGATACGAAAAAACAGAACTCTTCAAGGAGTATTCCAGCCGCCTGGCAAGGATAAAAGGGGGTCAGTTCAGAAGCCGTCAGGGGCGGAGTCCAATGCTTCCACCGCAGCCCTACGGGTCATAGGAGGCGAAGAAAAGGTGAGTCTCGAATCTGGGACAGTAAAATATGGTCGCGAGTCCCTCAGGACTCGGACCCAAGAATGACTGCGCTGGCGAGGCCAGCAGCGACAGACCCGTCTTCACGTCAGAGAGAGCGCAACACATCAACGAACCCGCAACTGTCTAACAGTAATACAATCTGGTCGTAGGCCCCGATGGGTGCTTTATTTCAAGGCAGACTGGCCGACTGATTCTCGGTCATAACATAAGACTCGACTCGGCAATCAGTCAGAAATGAATTGGTGTGCTTTCAGAGACAGACATCGTTCAAGTAAGAGATAGAATTCGAGAGACTACACTTTCAAGATCCATCCTGTTACCAAGTAAACAGACGCTGAAGACTTTTCTTTGTGTGTTTAAGTAATCTGTGGTCCAGTGGTTAGAGTTCTTGGCTACAGATCCAGACGTCCGGGTTCGATTCCCGGCGCTACCAGATTTTCTGAGAAGTAGTGGGTTTGGAAAGAGGTCCACTCAGCCTCGTGATGATAATTGAGAAGCTATTTCAAGGAAATAGCGGCTCCGGTCTAGAAAACCGAAATTAACGGCCGTTGGGATTCGTTGCGCTGACCACACGACACCCTCTATCCGCTAAAGCTGGCACTAACTTCGCCGAAAAGCGGCGGTCGCTCGGTCGGTATAGTTCTCTTGCAGACTAAAACCACGGAGGTTTTTCTTTTCTGTCCAATAAATTGGTTTGCCTATCCAAAACCCTCTTACGAGTCACTAATACACGTGGCAATATGTTAATAATAGTAGGAACCGTTAAGTTCATCCTGACCTTACGGTTACTGCCCTTCGTTAATTTCTGTGTGCTTATTTTATAAAGAAAAACTGGCTGAAACATAATTAAATTCAGTCACAGACAGGAAGATACTAAAATAGATTTTGCATATGGTGAGTGATGTTGATTGGTTTCAAATGGCTCAGAACAGTCAAGCACGGCGGGGATTCTAATAACTTTTGGATCAATGACAGAATTTTCATAACACTTGTTAAGAATATTATACCACTGGAGGCTATTCCGCCATACATATTAATTTATTGCCATGAATAACACCAGCACTCTATAGTTCACCTTATGTTATTCAGGTGGCAGTTTTTTAAACAAAATGTGTCTTCTACCGGGTGAATCGTATCCGATGAATTTGCGAATAATTTCGCAGCTGATGCATATAGTCGCTCACAATTACGACATAATAATCCGTGGGCCGTGCTGAGTCGAATGGTGTGCGCATGATCCGGCAAGTGGCAGCCCTTATGCTGCAAGGTCAAGGACAATGCCGAAAAGTGTCTGCAGTGCGCAGGCGACAGTCATGGCGTTCACTGTTGAACAGCGAGTGTTTCTAGTGCCTACTTGAAAACGGCGGACACTTTCAACACCTGCTCTTACCACGGCACACAATCCAAGATAAGATATGTGTAAATTATTTTAATATGTGTATAGTATATTTTATATTACAGCTCATTTCATCGGGCCGGTTCTATATGAATCACCCTGTATATGCAGCGCCGTGTATTCCTCTGAAAGGTACAAGTCGCCTCCAAATCGTTGGTTGATTTTCAGCGGACTACATAGGATTATATCCCATAAGATAGGACTCTGCACCAACATGACTGTGAGAACATCAAGTCCTACACACATTTTCAAACAGTTTCCCTATTAAAAATTCTGTAGGTAATCTTGGTTCCTCTATCCCAGCCGCATGTACAGCTACCTTGATTTCACTTCCGTAACAACACCGGATGACGTGTGTAAATCGTTTCTCGTCACGCAACATCGTTAAATCCTCCCCCACTTCACTATTATGATGAATTATTTGCCTGCGTACTTCTTTTTCTTCTTTTGCGGTTTATTTTATGACGCGGTCAGTATCTACACTAAACAGCTTCGAATGACAGGATGATTAATGGTAAAATGGAAAAGACTTAAAAGGTAGCGGTCGTAACTAATCGTGTCATCCGCGCATTGGCCTGGAGAGACTGAGAAAACTACGAAAACCTCGATCAGCATAGCCGGTGTTCCGGGAGGGATAAGAACCGAGCATGAACCGAACACAAGTCCAAGGCGCTGCAACTGCGTCGACTTGCTCGGTTTCGGCATTTGGTTTCTTGTGTTCCTTTCCCCAAGGTCACCATATTTCACGGCCACACAAAATATCTGGCAGAAATGTAATTCTAGGTATTTGTCAGTATCTTCAGATTCTTAAATTCGGATCTCATGTGACCGTAAACATGCTGATGTGTCTGTAAGGCATGACGTCATTGTAGCTTTGTAATAGCCGCGGTAAGCGTTCTTTTTTTTTTATGTGACACTGAATACAATGTTGCCCGCCTGCATTCCAGTTTCTTACCTTAAATCTGCGATTTCCAACTGGTGGTTGAGCGAATCGCACCCCTCGGAAAGAATATATAGATTTTCCTTTCCGTGAAATTAAGATACTGCCTTTGAGGTAGCCCTCTGCAGTCCTCACAACAAGGGGATCACCTGTCAGATCCTGACCGTTTGCTAGGTTCAAGAATAACGTCACAAACAACACCGAAACAGCTGACATGAGCATCTTCCCCATTTCCATACCACGTACCACTAGGATATGACACTATCGCACGTTAAACCAGTTATTTATATAGTTCCTCTTCAGCAATTTTCCTTAAATGAGTCATGAGGTGCTTTGTGGAACGGATTGCTTGCTTACTTCCTTACCAGATATAAATAAAACAAACGCCGGCACCTGTTCTGCTGTAGTGCAGCAAAACACCGAAAAGTGATATGCTGCAGATACACGCAATCGCGCTACCGCACACACAGCCTTGGACGCTGGGAATTACAGACCGAGACGATAACGCACGTAGAAAGACTTTCACCACAGGCAAGGTTGCAATTGCACTGCCGTTTTCTCAGTTCCGAGAAGCGGCAACTCAACACGATTTCCAAATAATATCATTTAAATGCGAAACATATATAACAATCCGGAGTTTTCCGTAGTTTCTCTTCAATCACCCCAGGAAAATAGCGGAGTAGTACCTCCATTACGCCACACTTCCTTCCGAATCCTCAATTCATCCTGCCGCCTGACATTATGTAAGGGTGAGGTGGTAACCCCGCCCACCTAACTTTGTACTGCTATGGAATGTTACCGAGTTTTCCCAATTTTACAACATTCTTCCCCTTGTGTTATCTTGTATAAGCAACTGTCACATCTCCGAGAGAAAATGTGCTATTAGTTAAAAACAAGAAAAACGGAGAACGTATATGGGCCAATGAAAAGCAAAAATATTTCGGATGAAACAGACTACAGATTTCAAAAGTACACAGAAACAAAACATAAAAACAATCATTTCTAAGGAACTGAAATCAATACATGCAGCTACAGTTTAAATTTACTAATGAGTAGGAGGGAATACATGTTACAAAACCCCCCACATTACCCTTTGTGACTCCATTAATTTAATCCGACCTCGACATATGTGTACGAAAACTTAAAAACTGGCACACTATGGATGAATTGTTAATCAGGAGAACACGTCACATTTACATATTATGAGATTCTATGATACGTAATACCTTTCGACTTACTGAAGATTTTCTTTCAGGTCTTCTTTACAACGTGAACCTCTAAAACGCAAAACTGGGCAAAAAAAAAAAAGTGCAGTTTATTAGAAGTCCAACTGACAACACTAACTTTTGAAGTTTCTGATACATTACAGTGTGATGTAGAGTTGTTTACGAATTCCTGGAACTTTAAAATTGACGTGAGTACCATTTGCCTGTGCGTGCCAGCATCCCTTTCTCCCCTACTGACAGCGTTGTTAAATAACCCCCTAGAATGCATAACAGTCTTCAGTGTGTTTTACCACGAGGAAGAAGATAGATATCGCACCCCACTAAACATAATCAAATTTGAATGTTCTCGTATGCGAAAATCCTGCGTCTAAAACATCTTAATGGGTGAGCGATCACAAATTTTTGGATTATATTTTCAACACGAAAGAAATCCATACACATGTACGAGAATGTCTACTTTACAAACTGCTGCAGATTAGATATACAAAACAATTTTACAATTTATTTTTTAAGAATGTGAAACGTGGTCACTTATTTTAAGGGAAGAAACAAATTAGATGTCAATATAGTAGAACACGACAGGCTGAGGGACAAAGCACATATAAGGAAATTCGGCGGGAAATCTCCTATTATCTCCCACTGGCAAAGCCTGATCTCAGGTTCCTACGTAGCTGGAATTTGTCCAGTTATTGAGGTCAACGTTTTTCTAGCGGATTCAACAGAATACGTATCCTCTATTCCTCATCGGAGGTCGGAAACCAATACGGTTTCCGAAATGCTGTTCCTTTGTTTTTTCCAAGAATACCGGACGATGGACAACGTAAAAGAAACAATAATCCTGATTGTTATACGCCATCGTCAGAACCCCTTGGAATCTACTCATGGGAAATATCCAAGTGAAATAAACCGGAGGATGTGAATGAGTGTTCCGGAGACAGGATGTGAGGAAAAATGTGTCACGAGTGTGTGCCTTTGCGTAAAATAAAATTAACTCTTTTTTTTTTTTAATTGTTTCATTTTTGGTCCGTTACACTATCACTCATAAAGTCAATAGAAAGTCCGTCGAGTATAACAATGTTTTTTAGGTCACTTCTTTATCACTTTTGCCTTACATGTTTCGGTTTTAATAAAACCATCATCAGAGGCACATGGTACTAACAAGAAAACACTGGCGTTGTTTAACTGTACACAGTATATATGCTGCGTGGACGCTGCTACAAATGTCGATGTGTAAAAGCACAACACTTGCTAGGAATATTGAATGCACGTTCAACTCCTCTAATTTTCTACTGTTTACCTCACCCCCTAACGTTAAAGCACTCCCTACTTCACTGAAGGCGAAGGAGATAAATAGAGGTTGCACAATGGAGTGGTTTTGAAATAGTTGTTCGGGTAAAGCTATGAATGAGATTTCAAAATTAAGCACATGTAAGAAGTGCACGCTGTCTGGCCACGAAAAGTTGGACTTCCTTAACTGCCCATTTTGAAAGCAAATCTACAAGATGTACCAACATAAACATGCGCTTGTGCAAGGGCGTATGAAATAAATGAAATATTTGCTTACATTTCCACATTACATTACATTTACTTTGGGGGGGGGAGAGTGGTTCGCAACAATTTTTATTATTACTTAAATATCAAATTTTCTCCTCCGAAGAGTAATGAAAAATTAAAAACATTTCCGTTTTCTTTCGTTGAGTGTTACAGATCGCGATTAAAATAAAACCGAAATCAAGTCGATTATTAAATTATGTCGCTCCGAATTTCGAATATATATGCGTTGTAGAGTCATTAAGTTCGTGGAATGTGGTTTTATCGCATCATATTACAAGGTATTCACATACACTTACGCAGATCCACATCGACCCTCGAAATAGATGCCGTTGGCCGCTATGCAAGTCTACCAACGTTGATATAGCTGTCGAAAACAGTGCTGAAACATCATCATCATCAGTAATCTGTCAGACGACAGGTCCACAGTCTCTTCCAAAATAATTCCTCCACTTAATGCGATCTAGAGCTTTCTCCTTCAAATGAAAGTATCCTCTTCTGTTCCCAAGATCATCCAGCATCTTCTTACGTCTTCTTCCTCGTCTTCTTGGCACTTCTATCCGCCCCTCTAGCTTTCCTTCAATAACTTCTTTTAGAAGGCAGTTTCTGCGTAAAACATGACCAATCCAACTAGCCTTCCATTTTCTTATTTCGTGTAGGATATTCCTCTGCTCACTGACTCTAATTAACACTTCTTCATTTCTCACATAATCGGTCCAACTGATCTTCTCCATCCTTCTCCAACACCACATTTCAAAACTTTCCAGATGTTTCTGATCTACTGCCCTAAGTGTCCATGTTTCAGCCCCATACAGAGCTATGCTCCAAATGTAGCATTNCAGGAAGTAAATTCCCGTACGACACTTTGCGGCCATTCCACGAACTTATTGACTGTGGTAGTGTGTAGATATATATACGTATATACATATAATCTGCGCTGGAATTTAATCCTCAAGATTGTCTAAATTTCTTAATTTGATTGTTATTTAACCAGAGTCGTGAAGGTCAAATTAAGCATTAAGTAATTTCAGAGGTGTGGGAAGTTGAAAAATTCTAAAAATTTGACAGAAACTGCAAAATTTATTGTAGGTAATCCATAACCAGAACAATTATAATGAATTTCTATTTGAAAACTTCTTACATAGAGAACGAAAAGGAACCTGAGATTAACGAAAACGCCCCATAATAACAACCATAACTGATGATATTTCACATGAAGAATTAATACTGAATAACCACAACATCAGAAACTGGTCTAAAATATATGGATTTGGAGTAAATGATAGTGGATCATCAATCTGATCACCATCAAATTCAGGAATGATTATAGCTCTAACAAATAAGCCACTTTGGCATACGAGCATAAAGAATGAATGAAAGATTGAATATATTCTTATTATTTCTATAATTTCCTCTCGCTGGTACATTAAATGGTACAAACGTAGCAGTCCGGACTCTCACATACTTAAAACTATTAAAATTACTCATGAAACATTTTCTGTATGCTATGTATCCAGACTTTCTGATTTTTATAAAATTGTATTTAAGCATCCTTTTGCATTAATATATCATTTACACGCATATATTCCCCTCATAAATTCAGCTTACTATCTAGTCAGCCTTCTTCCTCACTACATGTTTCGGCCATATACATGTACGGCCATCTTAAGGTGGTTTCTATTTTGCTAAATTTGTTACACTGTACGTAAAAAAATCGTATCGTGTGTGAACGTGATACTTGGTTGAGGCACTATGCTACCAGACGGAAGGTCGCGGTTTCAGGTCCCGATGAGGTCATTGGATTTTTTCAATTCACCTAATCCTTCCAGCAGTACTATGGCCCTGGCATCTACTCAGCCTCTTAACAGAAATGAGAACCATGAATATTCCTGGGGAATAAAGCGCGGCCGGCGCGTAGGGCTGACAACCTCAACGCCATTTGTGGGCCGATTGTTTAGAAAATGTGGGAACCTCAACATCTCACAAGCCTATGGGCCTCCACGGCCTGTTACAGGAATACCTTTACTTTTTTACTTACTTATTTTTAACCTTAATTAAAGCGGCCTCCGTAGTCTAGAGGTAACGTTCCCACCTCATGACTCGTAATACACGGGTTCAAATAACCGACGGAGATCATCGAATTTTTAAGGGCGGAAAAATTCAGGGAACAAGTCCTCCGGGAGGGACTTTAAGCCGTGGGTCCCGTGTCGTAGCTTTACGGCACGTAAAAGAACCTCATATCTCCAAAGGAGGTCACTGAGCCAAATTACGGACGTTTCCCGCCCAACAGCAGTCTCTAATACCTCTGGTAGATGGGGGAAGCATTATAGATACCTCTCAGCTAGTAGAGCCGGTCTCGCTGGCTGGGCGGGACTGATGGTAAGCACCAGTACCGGTAGGATATAGAGACTGGTAGAAATCATAGAGGGAAGCACAATGGACCAATACAGATC